GTATGACAGCCTTGTAATGTTTACTTAAAAACTCATATTTTGTGTATGACAGCCTTTTAATGTTTACTGATAATCTCATATTTTGTGTATGACAGCCTTGTAATGTTTACTGATAATCTCGTATTTTGTGTATGACAGCCTTTTAATGTTTACTGATAATCTCATATTTTGTGTATGACAGCCTTGTAATGTTTACTGATAATCTCGTATTTTGTGCATGACAGCCTTATAATGTTTACTGATAATCTCGTATTTTGTGTATGACAGCCTTATAATGTTTACTGATAATCTTGTATTTTGTGTATGACAGCCTTATAATGTTTACTGATAATTGATATTTTGTGTATGACAGCCTTATAACCTTGTAATGTTTACTGATAATTGATATTTTGTGTATGACAGCCTTGTAATGTTTACTGATAATATCATATTTTGTGTATGACAGCCTTGTAATGTTTACTGATAATCTCATATTTTGTGTACTAAAACCTTGTAATGTTTACTGATAATTTGCAAAATTTCACTGCACTACCTTTACATTTTATAATTCTCATGCATTCATATACCGCAACCAAAAAAATGCTTTGTATGCAAAGTACGAGTTTTCCTCGTAGTTAGTTTGTCATTGTTTTTTGAAAACTAAATAAGGACGAGCACGTGAATTTACAGTTCTTCATGAGTGAGGGGCAATTGTATAATAAGTATGTTAAGTTTTTCTTATGGTGTTAAGCGCATTAGATTGCATAAAGTACATTAAGCTTTCCTTGTAGCATTAAGCATGTTATGTTTTCCTCGTATTATTAAGCATGTTTATAAACATTAATCAATATATATGTTAAACCTTTCAGAAATTGTTGCTGTTCTTAAGGGCCATACGGGTCTAGTCAAGGGGGTTTCTTGGGATCCTGTAGGGAAGTACGTTGCATCCCAGGTGTGTTCTCCTAAGATTGTATATTCTATTTTCTAGTGATGTTACTACAAAGTGATTATTGTTAAAGATTTGTTCTGTTTCATGTTTAGGTATTTATTTGACATTGTTTTGTGATTTGTACCATTTGGTTCATAAATGTGCCTTTGATTGTTTTTCCAGTCAGATGATAAGAACTTACGAGTGTGGAGAACACATGATTGGCAGGAGGAGACTGTTGTTTCTGAGCCTTTTGAAGAAGTACGTGAACTTGGGGCTACATGTCAAGTATTTTTTAATAACTTTGAAAAAGTTTAAATATATAGCTGTTTCTGTGATGTGTTCATTTCTGGGGGCTTTCAGTAAAATAGATTTCTACACACATAATTTTTTCTGCCGTACAGTGGTATTAATTATTATTTTTAATTTAAATTTAAAGTTACTTAAATAAGAATAAGTAACACCTAATTGACCTTCAAATTTACTAACAACTGCACTGTATCTTAATCAGGTATATTTCTTGAAAAGTGAGAAGTCTTAATGTTACAATAAAAAAATTTCAAAGCGTGATGATATGTGAAGTTTATTGATGAGTTTTAATAAAACAAAGAGTACTTGTAACAGTATTTATACTGACATAGACATTTTTAAGTTGACGATGTTAAATCATGTCCCATATGTTCATAAAATATTAAAAGGAAACAAACCACGTGCATGACCTGCAAAATCAGCCAATCCGTTTGAAGCTTTTGTTCATAATTCACTTTACTTGCTTCTTTTAATATGATCCTTATTACTCTAGTGTGGTGGAACAACTCACATCCTACGTTTGAGCTGGTCTCCCGACGGTCAGTATCTCGTTTCTGCACATGCCATGAATAACTCTGGCCCTACGGCACAGATCATTGAAAGGGAGGGTTGGAGGACTAACAAGGACTTTGTCGGCCACAGAAAAGCTATAACCTGTGTTGTAAGTTACATTGATTTCCAAACAGTAACTAAAATTATGAATATTAGTTTTGTATAACATAATTGAACCGAGGGTGTTTTACAATCTAGTTAATTTTGTAGTATTTTATATTATGAATATCAATGTCAAGTGCATTTAACACTACTACTTGACTTCAAGTGTAAATCTTACATTATGATCACACACATAACTCATTAACACATTTAACACTACTACTTGACTTCAAGTGTAAATCTTACATTATGATCACACACATAACTCATTAATACATTTAACACGTACTACTTGACTTCAAGTGTAAATCTTACATTATGATCACACAATTAACACATTTAACACTACTACTTGACTTCAAGTGTAAATCTTACATTATGATCACACACATAACTCATTAACATTACTTGAAGTCAAGTAGTAGTGTTAATGAGTTATGTGTGTGATCATAATGTAAGATTTACACTTGAAGTCAAGTAGTACTGTTAAATGTGTTAATGAGTTATGTGTGTGATCATAATGTAAGATTTACACTTGAAGTCAAGTAGTACTGTCAAATGTATTAATGAATTATGTGTGTGATCATAATGTAAGATTTACACTAGAAGTCAAGTAGTAGTGATCATTGCCAATTT